GAGAGGAGAGGAGAGGAGAGGAGAGGAGAGGAGAGGAGAGGAGAGGAGAGGAGAGGAGAGGGGCTGGCCCCCCGCAGGGCAGGCAGGGAGCCCCGCCAGCAGAGAGACAAACCCAGCAGGGCAGTACAGACCTCTTCCTCCTCAATGCGAGCAGGCTCAATCAGCAGATTATTGGCTTGATCAAACGACACCCCCTGTTAGGACAGCAACCGGCAGAGGCGGGCAGATTAGTGGGGAAGGACCAGGCCACCACCAGGGACGGGCAGGCAGGCAGGCAGGCAGGCAGGCAGGCAGACCCCACCCCAGCACCAGGAGAGGCACACCAGAGAAAGAGAAGACGGGGAGAAAGAGCGGGGCAGGGGCAGATCAGCTCCTCCTCACGGTCCCCCTGCCCTTTGCAAAAGGCCCATCTGCCAGAGCTGCCCTCCCTGCAAGGGCTCCGAGCCAGCGGAGCAAGAAAGGGATGGCCGAGAGTTCCCAGGCAAAGCACTCCACTGACAGGGACAGGGTACGAGATGCAGCCACGGGGCTCTGGATCCGTTCCTGCCCCGCCAGGTCGGGGTGAAGATGCCATTCCTCTACCCTGGAACCGCGCCCGCACCAGGGGCTCCTCGGCAGGGAGAGCAACAATCAACAGAAACCCTGCCTGCCATCTACTGTACGGAGACCGCCGAGGCCACAGACACTCGCCTCCTCCCCGATCGCCCTCCGAGAGCTCTGGGGCTGCCAAGGGAGCACAGAGCATGACTCAGATCCCCTCCCAATCACCCTGCCAGCCCGGGCCAGGAGAGAGGGAGACCTGGATCTTCTCCACGGAGGGTCTACCCGAGGATCCCAGAGCCGCCCTCCCCACCTCCCGGTGATCGCCCTTCCCCCGCAGGAAGACCCTTACCTTGACAGAGGGTGGGACAGCTGGCACCCCATCCCTGGCCACCTCTTCCTGGTCCCACCCTGCCTGCTCTGGGGCCTCCTCCTGCTCCTGGGGGCCCCCATTGGCACCGAAGCCCTGCAGGAGCGCCACCACCACTTCTGGGCGGGGCAGCTGAGCAATCCGGAAGTGCTTCTTGTAGTGGGGTGTGTCCTTGCGGATCAGCCGCTGCTTTCCTGTGGGGAACGGCGGGGCCTCCTCTGCCTCGTCATCATCCTCGCTGCGAACCAGGGTGTCTTCAGCAAAGTGCACCGTGGGCTGCAAAGAGAACAGCCCCCAGGGCAGGAAGGTTCAAGCCAGCCCACTTCCACCCTGGGACCAGGCAGCAGGTGGAAACACTGAGGCGACCCCTGCCTGCCTGCCAGCCACCCACTCCTTGCTGCTCGACAAAGCCTCGCGTCTGCTGAGGGAGAGGAAGCTCCCTTCCTCCTTGGAGATGTGGGCAGCTCGGAGCTGTTCATCTCAACGCTCCAGCTGTGCCTTCCAGATCTCCTTTCCGTAGAAACTAAGGACGCCCCTTCTACAAGCCTCGCCCTCATAGGGCTGCTTCAGCTGCAATCCCCCACCCGCTCCGGGCACACACATGAGTGGCCCAGCCCCTGCGAGGAGCCAGATGGAAGAGGGGCCCTTTCCCTGGTTCCCATCGGTTGTAGCCCCTGCAGGCCGCATAGTGGGACTTTGGGCGAGAACAGCCCCCGGGGCAGGAAGGTTCAAGCCAGCCCACTTCCACCCTGGGACCAGGCAGCGGGTGGAAACACTCCTCTGCTTCCTCCATCAAGAGGGTACTTGGCTCTGTCACTTGGCACAAACGGTACTTTGAAGCTGTGGGCATTGACAGTAAGGGTCTACGTCGGCCGGCTTGCAGGCATCCATGCAGCTCTGGCACCCCCGCAAGACGGGAGATTAGAGTCAGCAGTCCAGGCTACTCCCCCAGAAGAGAAGGAAGCTCGGGGGAAACCGAGCCGTCTGCAGTTCTCGCCCATGGCTTCCTAGCGGGCTAGCAGAAACGCCTCTCTCTCCCCCCTCTCATCCCCAGATGCGCACGTTGACTTCGCTGGCAAGAAAACCTGGAGCCAGGGCCCTTCCCCGGAAAAAGAGGGAGATGGAGGGCGGGAAGCACTCCAGGATGGGGACAGCCCAGCAGAAACCCAGGAGGTGGCTGCGCTTTCTCTTGCCCGGGATTCTGTTCCCACAGGGGAAGACCCACTAACCCCAAGGCCGTGCGAGGACCCGGCCTCCGCTTTTTCAAGGCTCCCAGCCGAAGAGAGGAGGCACCCAAGAGAGCCAGCAAAGTAGGCAGGGCCCAAAGACCCCCCTTCCCCTCCATTCCCACGGGAAAAGGCCTCAATGGGCACATAGAAGGAGGCACGATGTGGAGGCCAGGTCTCTCCCTCATGAAGGCCCAAACAGCAGCGGTGGGAGGGCTATATTGCTACTCCTACTCCCCAGAGGCCTCAGGATGGGAGGCTTTGGCTCTTCTCATGCCCTCCGCAGGCTCAGGAAAGGCCCCAGAAAACCTCCCTCGCTGCCTGGGCTGCCCTCTCCAGCCTCTTGCAAGGAAGGCATCTGACCCGTTTGGGACCCACCGTCAGCTTTCAGGCCCAGGAGTCAAGAGCCAGCCTGGCCCGGCCCGTGGTCCACAGGACCTCTTTGGGCAAGGGGCTTCCCCCACGCTTTGGGAACCATTGAGGGCTTTGCTTCTAAAGACTGACTCTCCCCCAGTCTGTGGGCTGGACCATGGTTCCATTTAGTTCACCTTACCCACACTTTGCTTGTGGCTGGCTAGCTTTTGGGGGTCCCCATTTGGACAGCTGGGCATCGAGACAGGATGCAGAGCAGCCAGAAGGCAGCCCTTCTGCTGGTCCCGTTGCCTTGCTGTTCTCCATGGAAGTGGCAGGGAAACAACTCGGAGCCGAAGACAGCCCCTCTGCTCTACTCCCCAGCCGGAAGTGCAGGAGGAAAACTCTGCCGCGGGACTGCTGGGGGGCTGAGGGTGGAAGAGGCTGGGCGCTGCCCGGGTGACCCCTGCAGGACTGAATGCTGAGCGAAGCTTCTAAGCTCTTTCTTTCCTCCTTCCTTTCCTCCTTCCTTTTCCTTTCCTTTCTCCTTGCCTCTGTAAAATGCATCTGACTGCCTGAAATCGGCTAGGTTCTAAGCAGCTTACAGAAATTTAGTGTTAAAGAGAAGATATAAATCAAACATGAAATTATGATTAAAATAAAAAATTGACAAAGGGAGTGATATCATGACTTGTTAATCCCCAAAGCCCCCCAGAAGAGCCATGCTTTTGCCAGCTTCCAGAAAGGCCGGGGGCGGGGGCCACACCCACTCCCAGGGGGCAAGCTCTCTTGGGTCACAGAAGAGTGAACAAGTCAGAACTGGAATGCTCCCAACATTATCCTGCCGGCCTTCAGCATCTGCTGTGCCTGACCCTCTGCCTGGGCCCAGGCTGGTCTCCCCACCTTTCTTTCACCAGGTTCCTCCCAGCTCCCTATCCTTGTGCCGTCAAGAGGCTTTAGGAAAGAAGCGTGTTAGCTGCCTGCCTTCTCCAAAAGGGCCCTTTGCTTTGCGACTGTGTCTGAAAAGGCTGCCATCCCACGCTGCAGGCGGCCCCATTCCGGAGCTCTTGCCTTTGCCCCGTTCTGCCAGCAGCACCAGGCGCAGCTGGGGAACCGGCCCAGACCCAGGGCCTTCAGGGAAGCTGTGCTAGGAGGCCTCCCGACCCGAGTCTCTGGGTCCTACCTCAGGGTACTCCATGCCAGGCTCATCTTCCTGGTCCACCCCGGTTTCCTCCACCGTGGCCACGTCCTCCGGGGACACCTGTCCTTTTTCCTCAGCCGTGACCTTCCCTTCTCTCTCCAGCCGAGTATTTGCCACTTCGTCTAGCCTTGGTGCATCTCGCGCCTCCTCAGGGCCACCGCTGGCAGAGATGGTGCTGCCAGAGACGTGGGAGTCTTCGCTGCGGCTGGAGGCGGCACTGAGTCTCTTGCCCTGTGCGGGACGGGAGACAGTTGAGAGGACCCTGGATGCTGCCCCTTGCCCAGCTGAAGCTCCCGTGACGGGCCCAGCAGGCAGCAGAGTCAGGCAGGGCAGGCACCTTGGGAAAAGGGAGGCAGCCCCCAGCATGGACCCCAGTGATGCCTTCCCTCGGCTGGTTCCATCGGGTTATGCTGCCGGGAAAGGGAGACCCCAGGAGAAAAGGCCCGGGGCTTGCGATCTAAGGCCACAGCCCAACTACTTTCAGGATCTGGGGTCCTTGACAGCTGCAACACCAAGACTTCACCCAGTTTGCTGAATAAGCCAGCGTGGCCTAACCTGAACTTGACCCTCAGCTGGACAGTGTCTTCCTGACAACTCACAAAGTGGCAGGTGAGTGCCCCCACCCAAGCGCCTCTTCCACTGGCTCAATCCCTGAGGCAGGTTTAAGCAGGTGGCACCCGCGTTGCTCCTTAAAACAAAACAAAACTGAAATGCAATGCAAGGCCCTACCAGTTTGGGAAGGGGGTCCTGGGGGTCGCAGAGGCACAAGATGCCGGTGGCTGCCCTTTCAGCAAGGCACCGGGCTCATAAGGAGTTTGAGCTACACGTGAGCCAGGGCCAAGCGGGGATCTCTTTGCTAGGTCAGGAGCAGCCCCTGCCCGCCCACCCGATCGCTGGCAGAAGCAGCTGTCTCCCACCTCAGAGTTGGAGGAGCCTCGCCTAGCTGCCGCACACGCCTCGCTGCGCCGCATTTCCATCCCCTTCTTCATGGACTTCAGCTCACTGGGGTGGGGAGTTGCCCTGCGCTGCAGCCCCTGCCAGAAGCACAGGAGTGAGAGAGAAGGGGTCAGGTGAGGGCATGGCACCTCCCAAGAGACAAGGCAGCAGAGGGTCCCTCCAAGGCTCACTGGCTCCGGTGGCTCCCTCCAGGAAGCAGCAGGAGCACTACGCCCCCACCATCCCATCTCAGGCCCCTGTCAGGCCTGTGAAGCCTGAGCCGGCCCCCCACCTCGGCTCTCCAACCCTGCTACTTCTCCTTTGGCCCTCTCACCCTCTTCTCGGTCCCAGCTTCCTCCTCCTCCTCCTCCTCCTCCTCCATTTGAGGGTCCTCCAGGAACTGGATCACACTGATCCGGTTGGGGTTGGCCTCTGCCCAGCTCTCATCCAGGCTGTTCTGCAGGAGATTCTCTGCCGGGAAGGCAAAAAGAGACGCTTGAAGTGCGGTGGACCCGTGCTCTCACCATCTCTCCCCTCCAAGGAGAGGCAGAGCAAGGCTCAGCACCCCCAGCTCCTTTACCTGAGCTGGGAGACGGCTGCTGGGGAAGCAGGTAGCAGGTGAGCACTTTCTCCCCTGTCTTCTCATCATCCTCGGTCTGGAACTTGAGCATGGGCTGCGACTGGTTCTCTGCCAGCCAGAGGGCCTTCAGGTGGAGGTTGGTCAGGGCGAAGGGCAGATGCTGCAGCCTGCATCAGTAAAAAGCCATTGGAAGGGGGCCCCTCCATCCAAAACCTGCCCTGTCCTCTGGCAGCAATGGTGTGACAGTGTGGGTGGGGCTGAAAGGTTCAGACTTTTTTCCCTGCGTTGGAGGGGGGAGCTGAGAGAGCTCTGGGCAAAGTGGGTTCCCAGGAATAAGGCACCCACAGAGCCCCAGAACTCTCCCACTCCCCTCCCCCCGGCAAAGGTGGGTCAGGGCAGCAGTAGCAGCAGCAGTCCCTTTGGTGGGACTATTCACTGGGGAGCATAGGGTTCCCCAGAAGACATGCGTGAGGCAGCCTGTGCGCAGAGGGGACTCCTGCCCTGGGCCATGGATTATTTTAGGACTACACGAGAGCACTGCTTCCTCCTGCTTCCAGACCTCAGGGATAGGGGGCAGGGAGATTCGGGGCTCAGCAACAGCAGGGCAGGATCCTAGAGCTGGGCGGGAGGGGGCTGTGGAGGCTGCTAAACCCAGATTAGAGCCCCTGGGGCTGACTGCTATTGTGGGGGTTGTCCAAAGCATAAGGGGTCCTCATCCATCTCCTCCGTGTGGCCTCCCAGCACCTCCCGCCCAGGCCCTGGGCTCCTCCTTGCTCTCTCCCTCTTTACGCCTCCTCCTCGTCCCTAAGTGTTCTGCGCAGCCACACTGGCCTCTTCAATGAGCCTCCTCTTTTCTTCTGCAACTGTTCCTTCAGGTTCTTCTTTATGGGAAACTCTGGCCATTGCTTCTCTGGCCACGGAATCGTACTCTCCTGCCATTTGCTTTGGGGGACACCAAAATGCACTCAGCTACCTGTACTACAGTCTGCCACTGCCACTTCCTCAATTAAATCTGTCATATTAATTAGGATCAGGTCAAGGAGAGCAGATCCTCTTGTGCCTTCCTCCAAAGGGGCAAGTATCAGCAAGACTAATCAGGAATTTCCTGGATGGACCATGCCACTAGTATAAATTCCCTCATCATTATTCATTTGGTCTCTTTGAAAAGCAAAAAATTTCTATCATCCACAGTTAAACTGGAATTTATGCCCATCAGAAGTGATGGGTCCCATGGCAATTCAGATGGCCAAGGTGTCTGGGAAACAGACCACTGTGGTAATGGGGGATTCCAACCACCTGGAGATCAGCTGGGAATCACACTCTGCAGCAAGCGGGGTTTCCAATGGGTCCCTGATGCGCCTTGCAGACAACTTCGCTGTCCCAAAGGTCAGAACCGAAGAATCGGCCACACTGCACTTAATACTCACTAACAGGGAAGAAGCGATTGAGGAAGTGGAAGTGGTAGGAACCCTGGAGAGAGGGATCGTGTGGTTTGCTTAGTTATGTATTTGAATGTATTGGCCGCCCAACTCCAACGGACTCTGGATTCCTGGGATTCGCCATATTGCAGGCAGGGAGAACCGAAGGCAGCCAGATCAGTGGTCTAGCTTTCAAGAAAGTTGATTCATTGAGCAAAGAGGTGAAGCAGGAGGGATTCCATGGATGGAAACCCCAAAGGGGAAAACATTTCAGGAGGGTTGGGAAAGTCTGAAAAATGAGAGAATTAAGGCCCAAACGCAATCAATGCTGAAGAGGGGGAAAATGGGAGACACCTGATGAGACTGGCGTGGGTGCATTACAACCCCTCTGAGAAACTTAAAAAAAAAAAAAAAGTTAAAAAAATTTTAAAAAAAAAAAAAAAG